TATGTTTGTAGGTACATTAATTTACTTATATTTTTCTTAGGTACATATGTCTCTAGGTAAATTGTTGAACTTGCAAAATATAGGTACATTAACAGGTATATTGTAAAAAAATTTACCTTATTGTAAATAGTTTACCTTCCGCATTGTATTTCACTAATGCAAACCGTCTATTCATTCAAAGATCATCTCTATAAAAAATTAATTGAATCCGATATCGTTTGACCACTCAATTAAATTATTGAAATTTTAGTACTTTCTTGAAGCACTGTGTTCATTAATTTTGTAGGACACAATTAGATGTCTAAACAATTTCCGATTTGTCCTATTTTTTGTAAGGATGATCTATGAATGAATACCTAAAAAATAGATGCTTTGGATAGTTGAAAAAAAAATCGTAGGGTACCCTAAAAGGTATCCCTCAATAAAAGGGGGCAGTATATGTATATGTGTGTGTGTGTGTATATATATATAGAGCTTCTATTGAGGGATCCCTCAAATAAGCTTATTTGATAAACACCCTTGTGGGGCCCACTCCACATTGTATTTCACTAATCCAAACAATCTATTTTTTAGATAATCATTCAAAGATCATCTCTACAAAAAAATCACTTGAATCCGATATAATTTGACTACTCAATTGAGTTATTGAAATTTTAATACTTTCTTGAAGCACCGTGTTCATTGATTTTGTAGGATACAATTGGATGTCGAAATAGTTTCCGATTTGTCTAATTTTTTGTAAAGATGATCTATGAATGTAGATTTAAAAAATAGATGGTTTGGATTGTTGAAAAATAATTTGTAGGAGACCTTAAAGGGTGTCTCCTAAATAAAACTATTTGAAAGATCCCTCAATAGAAAGGTACATTATTCATTGGATATATAATTTAGGAATTTTTTTTTTGGTTCAAAATATTTTATAAATTGCTGATGGGTTAGAGGGAGTGCCAACCAAAAGAAATGAGGTGTTTGATATGCTATTAGTAGGAAGAATAAATTCTGACTAAGACAATTAATGACGTGTTTGAAAATTAATATGAAGGTAAATGGCATGTATTTTAATTTAGTTAATAATACTATGACAAATCTATATTACATGGCAATCTATTTTAAATTTGGGTTTTAAGTAAAGATTTAAAAGTAGGTGGGTATATGTCCAAGATATAGTAGTTGTAAGCAAGGTCTAAAATATCGATGGTATCAGAAATATCGGTCCAAAAACACGAAAATTTCGATGGAAATATCGGGATATTATCGATATAGATAAAAATTTAATAAAAATTACGGAAATTGTAAGAAAAACTTGGAAATTTTTATTGAAACTTTGTAGGATGTTTATTTAGTCAATTATCTATTAGTTTATCACAAAAAATTGGAAGGAAATGCATTGTATGATGGGTTAAACTAATTTAAGTTGATTATATGGCGAGTTGACAAACACTGTGAGTGTAGAAAATATGTAGTAATTAATGAAAGAAAATTAAACACAGCGTAATTATTTATATATAATGATTTACTACAATATTTTACACTTTATACATTGCATGGTAAGATACATGAGTGACTTAGTACCACATAGAGTTCTTATGAGGTTCAAAATTTTCACTATCTTCATCATCTCTATGTGTAGAGTAAGTGTATTGTGAAGAGTAGTCATCAAATGATAAATCCCCAAAATAATTTTGCATGTAATTGTTAACATGCCACCCATATGGATCCGAGATTGGTTGACGTTGTCTGTAAGCAAAATCATTTGAAGATTGGGTCTCAAATTTTTCCATGAGCCACTCGATTCCATCCCAAAAGGAAAGGTCAAAGACTCACATTCTCATGTGAAAATCTGATTCTTGCAAAAATAGCTAAAAAAAATATATATATAAATATACATATTTTAGCATATTATCACAAAAATATAAGTAACATGGTCGTTAAGGTGTTGAAGGAGTAAAATGGTAGGGGTTTGAATCCCTTTTGAGTGTGTGATTTGTGTTTTTTTTTCCTTTTTCCATTACATTGATATTTTCGATATTAGAGCGATATTTTGACAAAATATTGCTGAAATGTGAGCGAAATTATCGACATCGATATTTTCTGATATTATCGTCGATATTATCGATATTTATATGATATGTGTATGAATATGTTCCGAAATATCAGTGACTCGAAAAAATGATAATATCCTTGATATTTCGTCGATATTATTGATATTTTAGATTATGGTTGTAATGGCCTATATTGGAACAACCCATAAATTTAATCCATGAGTTCGTCACAAAAGGCCCATAAATTTGTTTTGTTGATCACCTGCCTAAGTGTCGCTTCAGGTTTTGGCCCAAAAGGAAGCGGGTCGATGTAATAAGGCAAGGCAATGAGAAGTTGACACGTATTGCCTACTCGCTTATATGGACACTACTAAAACGACTTCGTATAACGGGTATGATAACTTGTAAGAGGCGTTCTTCAAAGGAGACAACAAGGGTTTTGTAGCCTTTCTCTTTAGGACAGTCGTTCTCTTACTATCTTCTGCTTTACATCATTAATCTCTCTCACTTTCGTCATTCCACATGATAGTAAATGAAGTGAAGGAAGTGTTGTACTGGTGTGTTTTTCTTTCCCTTTTTAAATTTTTTTTATTTTTAAATTTTTGGTTCTTGAATATTTTAGAATAGATAAGATATTGTTTTAAAATATTTTTAGAATAAAGAAGATATTGTTTCTAAATCTTATTAGAATAAAGAAGATAGATCAAGTAGATTAGGTCTGCCATTTTTGGCTTCATTTTTATGCCAGTTGGCGATAAGAAGAGAAAGAAGGCAGACGTTGAGGGAGCCATCTCCATTCATGAGGGAGTTAGTACGTTGCATGTATATGGAACCATGCCGGATCACCTCCTTGAAAACATAAGAGAGCAGATACCGCCTTGCTAGATGACCAGTCACTTTTGAGGTTTAAGCTTCAATCAAATGGTGGTTGTCTATGATAAGAAAACATGAGTTCGCAATGCAACACAAAGATATGAGGGCCAAACCCAAGTACCTCTTGCTAATCACTTCATCCTTTGAGGCCCAACATGAAATTTATTTTTGCCGTATTGATGGGAAAAAAAACTATCTAAAAGTCTTCGCATTTGGTTATAAAAAAACACATACCAAGGGAAAAATAAAGAATGCAGGCAGAGCTGCATAAAATCCTTATACCATACCAAGGCAACTATAAATTTAATCCATGTGTTCATTACCAAAAAGGCTCATTCATAGTCCCACAACCTCATCGACGCGCCATGGTTTGGTTTGGTTTTGTTTGATTGTCCGCTCGAGTGTCGTTTCGGGTTCTGGCTCCGAGTGGGAAATCGAAAGGAAACGAGTCACTATAATAAGGCAAGGCAATTAGAAGATGACACGTATTACCATCTCGCTTATATGGACACTACTGAAATGAAATCGTATAACCAGTAAGATAACTTGTAAGAGGTGTCCTTCAAAGGAGAAAACAAGGGCTTTGCAGCCTTTCTTTTTAGGATATGAGTCGGTCTCTTACTATCATTCGCTTTAGGATATTAATCTATGTCACTCTCTCTCGTCGCTCCACTTGACAGTGAAAGGAGTGAAAGATGTGTTAAACTGGTGCATGTTTCTAAAGAATATATTATTTTTAACTCTTTTTAGAATAAAGAAGATATTGTTTCTAAATATTTTTAGAATATAGAAGATATTCAAGTACATTAGGTCCGCCATTTTTGGCTTGATTTTTGTGCGGGTTGCTTCCTTTTATACATGCTTGAGTAAACATTTATCTTTGGACGAAGAGAACAAGTAGGTGATTGATAGGGACGGCGATAAGAAGAGAGAAAAGGTAGATGTTGAGGGAGCCATCTTCATTCTTGAGTAAGTTAGTACATTGCATGTTTATAAAACCAAGTCGGATCACCTCTCTGACAACATAACGGAGCATATACTTCCTTGCTAGATGCCAGTCACTATTGAGGTTTTAGCTTGAATCCAAAGCATGGTTGTCTATGATTAAAAAAGAAAAACATGAGTTGGCTATGCACGAAGAGACAAAGGCCAAGCCCAAGTATCTCTTGCTAATCACTTCATCCTCCAAGGCTCGATTGGAAACTTTTTTTGCTGTATTAAGGTGCATCCGTATGGAATGATAAAAAAATAAATAATCCAAAAGTCTTGGCAAATTGATATAAAAAGGCACATATACCAAGGGAAAAATAAAGAATGGATGCATAACAACATAAAATCCATATACCATACCAAGATAAATATAAATATAATTCTTTAGTTCAACATATAAAGGCTCATTCATAGTTCTACAACCTCATCGACTTGCCATAGTTTAGGTTTGTTTTATTTTGTTTGATTGCTCGCTTGCCCAAGTGTCGATTCTGGTTCAAGCCTTGAGTAGGAAATCAGAAAGAAAGCGGTCGATGTAATAAGGCAAGGCATTGAGAAGACGACACATATTCGCTACTCACTTATATTGACAATACTAAAATGACATTATATAACAGGTAAGGTAACTTGTAAGATACATTCTTCAAAGGAGAAATCAAGGGTTTTGTAGCCTTTCTCTTTATGATAGCTGTCTCTCTTTCACTTTAAGACATTAATGTCTCTCACTCTATTTTGTCTCTCAATAGGACAGTGAATGAGGTGCTGTACTCGTGCGTTTTTCTTTACCTTTTTTTAATTTTTTGTTCTTGAATATTTTAGAAAAGAGAAGATATTGTTAAAGGAGATCGCACAAAATAAGTAGTCAATATTGTAAATTGATTCTTTGTTATTTACTTACTTGTTTTGTATTTGGTTAGTCGTAATTGTAGGAAATAGAATAGGAATGTCATGTACAATTCTATTATAAAGCTGTAACTCTTGTTCTGTGAATACATAACGAAATCAATTCTTCCACATTTGGTTTCTCTTGATGGTATCAGAGCAATGATTTGAATAAACCTAACCAAGCACAAACATCACCCTAGCAGCATAGTCATGGGTGACAACACCGAAAAGAAGTCAACCGACACAGGCATGCCTTCAAAGCCAAAATGGGAAAACCCCAACCACCCGCTCTACCTTCATCATGCGGACCAACTCGGCGTAATCCTTGTCCCGCAGCCTTTGGTAGAAGATAACTACAGCACATGGGTTCAGTCCATGAGCATGGCCTTAACGGTCAAGAACAAGATTGACTTCGTTGATGGGTCAATCAAAGAACCAAGTGGGGATAAACCTGATGAATTGCAGCAATGGAAGCACTGCAACAATTTAGTCAAGACATGGCTATTGGGGTCGATGTCAAAGGAAATTGTTGGCAGCGTCATTCACTGCAAAGACGCGAGCCAGATGTGGCTTGATCTCCAAGAGCGATTTTCTCATGTGAATACCGTTCAGCTTTTCCATATCGAGAATGAAATCTATGATTGCGTACAAGGCAGCATGACTGTGAGTTCCTACTTTACTAAACTTAAGAGCCTTTGGGATGAACGAGACGCATTGTGCTCAATTCCGGCTTGTAGTTGCGGAACAACCAAGAAGATTGCTTCATACATAGAGACTCAGAAAACAATGAAATTTCTCATGGGTCTAAACGACTCATATGCCACTGTTCGTAGTAACACACTCTTATTGGAACCATTACCCACAGTAAACAAGCGTATTCGCTGGTCCTTCGACATGAAAGGCAGGTAGAGATTTCTAATGGAAAAACTTCTACCCAACCAAAAGCAGCCGTGTTTGCCGTAAAGAACCCAAGTCGTGAGTCTGAATTAGAAGAGAGGGGCCTTTGGTGTGCAAAGTGCAACAAGACGAATCACAACACCAAGAATTGCCATGCTCATCTCAAATGCACCTTTTGTGGCTAGAAAGGTCACTCATTCGATTACTGTCGCAAAAAGCAGTAACATTATAGGCTGAGCAAGGTAGTCTCTCAAAGGGCAACCAGGTTGCATCATATGCATCTGACACAAAAGGGACAATGTCCAATTTCCCTTTTTCACAGGAGGAATGTAAACAGATTCTCCACATGTTGAGCAAGAAAAAATCCTCTACGGCCAATCAAGTTGGTAATTCTTCCAATCACGAAGAACTTTCAGGTAAAGCTTTTTCCCTTACTTATAATGGCAAGAAGAACACTTGGATCTTGGATAGTGGTGCTACGAATCATATGGTTTGTAGCCCTGATTTTCTTACACATTCAAAGACGATTGAAAATAATACTGTTGAATTACCAAATGGTTCATTTGCTCAAGTCACCCATATTGGACATATTGTTTTCTCTCTCAATTTCATTCTAAATAACGTCTTATACGTACCACTTTTTCGACTCAATCTCATTTCCATTAGCAAGTTAGCTTCAGATTCCTCTTGTATCACAGTGTTTCTAAGCCAATTTTGTGTCATACAGGACCTGCGCTTGGGGAAGATGATTGGGACAGGATTTGAGCAGGAGGGACTTTACTATCTCGATCAAGCAAAGAAAGGAACATGCAACTCCGTTCAAACTCTAGCCTCTGGTCTTTGGCATCAACACCTCGGACATCCTTCAAAGAAAGTTTTCAATTATTTCCCTTTTTCCAAAAATACATCTTGTGATACAGACAAATGCCTAATTTGCCCATTGGCCAAACAAACAAGGTCACCGTTTCCATTAAGTTCCATTTCCAGTAAAGTATGTTTTTATTTGATACATGTTGACATTTGGGGTGGTTATAAAATTGCTTCTCTTTCTGGTGCAAAATATATTCTCACTATCGTAGATGATTTTACTCGGGGTACATGGGTTTATTTGATGAAACATAAATCTAATACAAGGGATCTTCTAGTTAAATTCATTCACATGGTTGAGACTCAATTCAATTCTAAGGTCAAAATAGTGCGTAGTGACAATGGCCCTAAGTTCAAACTTGAAAATTTTTATGCTCTCAAAGGCATTGTTTATCAATCTAGTTGCGTCAACACACCACAACAAAATGGTGTTGCTGAGCGCAAACATAGGCATTTGCTCAATGTGGCACGAGCCTTGCTTATTCAAGCCGGTCTTCCTAGACAGTTTTGGGGAGATGCAATTCTTGCTTCAACATATCTCATAAATAGAACAACAACTCCTCTTCTTCATGGTACAACGTCATATGAGAAATTGTTTCATCAAACTCCTAATTATTCTCACTTAAGGGTATTTGGTTGTTTATGTTTTACCTCTACCCACGCACAAAAACCTTCAAAATTTGACCCTCGTGCCACTCATTGTATTTTTCTTGGATACCCTTATGGTCAGAAAGGGTATCGTGTGTTTAATCCCATCCTAAAAAAGGTTTTTGTCTTACAGGATGTTACTTTCTTTGAAGAAATATTCCCCTTTCAAAATCATGCTCATTCCGTAGCACCACATCCATTTACACAACCTTATGCCCCCCTTTTGATGTTTGATGTTAACTCTTTTCTAGAGCCACAATCTTCAGCCCACATATCAGATGAGATTTCCTCTTGCCCAACACCACAAGAAGACATGATCAGCACCCCACCTTCCGTAACCCTATCATCTGATACTACAACCAATGTCATCATTCCATCTTCACCGTCACCCACATCTTCTTCTTCTTCTTCAACACCACCACTGTTACGACGTGGTGTACGTCAAACTAGGCCACCATCATTTTTGCAGGACTTTCATATTGAGGCAGCCCTCCCATCTAGACCCGCACTTTCATCTTCTACGAATGTGGTCACATCTTCAAGTACTGCTTATTCTCTTTCACAATTTTTGTCCTATGATCGACTTTCTTATGCTCATAAATCTTTCACCACTCATCTCACTCTTCTCAAAGAACCCACAAGTTTTTCACAGGCCATTACAGATCCAAAGTGGTGAGATGACATGCAACATGAAATTGTAGCTCTCCAAGCCAACAAAACGTGGACTCTCATGCCCTTGCCCTCTCAAAAACGCCCCATTGGATGCAAGTGGGTTTACAAAATCAAGTTAAAACCAGACGGGACCGTTGAGCGATACAAAGCTCGGTTAGTGGCGAAAGGGTACAGTAAAATAGAGGGTGTTGATTACAAGGAAACATTTGCCCCTGTGGCGAAATTGGTGACCGTTTATGTGCTTCTTAGCATTGCAGCCTTATAAGGATGGCACTTGCACCAGCTAGATGTGAACAATGCGTTCTTGCATGGTGATCTTGATGAGGTTGTCTACATGACTTGCCTCCTGGTTTCAGACGAAAGGGGGAGACTCGTGTGTGTAAATTAAACAAATCCTTGTATGGACTAAAGAAAGCCTCAAGACAATGGTTTCTCATATTGTCAACCGCTCTCAAAGCTGCTGGATTTCATCAATCATTGTCAGACTACTCATTGTTCGTCTGAAATCGTCAAGGTAGCTTCATAGCATTACTTGTCTATGTTGATGATGTGATATTGGCAGGCAATAACTTGCAGGATATTGAGGACACTAAGCAATTTCTTTTGAGAAATTTAAGCTCAAAAATTTGGGTTAGCTTAAATATTTCTTGGGGATAAAGGTTGCAAGGTCAAAACATGGTATTACTTTGTGTCAACGAAAATATGCGTTGGAAATATTGGATGATGCTGGGTTCCTAGGTGCTAAACCTTCACGGTTTCCTGTGGAACAAAATTTGTCACTGACACAAACAAATGGGAGGCTACTGAATGATCCATCTTCATACAAAAGGCTTGTAAGTAGGTTAATTTATTTGACCATCACAAGACCTGATCTAGTTTATGCAGTTCATGTATTGAGTCAATTCATGGATAAACCCCGACAGCCACACCTTGAAGCAGCGCATAAGGTTCTTAGATACATCAAGCAAATGCCTGGGCAAAGATTCTCTTACCCTTAACAGGTTCATTACAATTACGGGCATTTTGTGATGCCGATTGGGCTCGATGTGCCGATACAAGAAGGTCGATGATTGGTTATTGCATTATACTAGGCCAAGCACCAATTTCTTGGAAAACGAAGAAGCAAAGCATTGTATCTCGATCAAGTGCAGAGGCGGAGTATCGTTCTATGGCTACCACTTGTTGTGAGATTACATGGCTGAAGAACATCTTAAAAGATTTGAGAGTAAATCACACACAACCAGTTCTACTCTTCTGTGACAATCAAGCTGATATGCATATTGCATATAGAGATAGATTGTCACCTAGTGCGTGAAAATATTCAAGAAGGGATGATACGAACAGCTTACATACGAACCATGAATCAACCAGCTGATTTGTTAACTAAGCCATTTAGTTCAACATAATTTGAAGTATTGCTCAGCAAGTTGGGTGTCATAAACATACACTCCAACTTGAGGGGGAGTGTTAAAGGAGGTTGCGCAAAATAAGCAGTCAATATTGCAAATTGATTCTTTGTTATTTACTTACTTGTTTTGTATTTGGTTAGTCGTAATTGTAGGAAATAGAATAGGAATGTCATGTACAATTCTATTATAAAGCTGTAACTCTTGTTATGTGAATACATAACGAAATCAATTCTTCCACATTTGGTTTCTCTTGATTGTTTTTAAATCTTTTTAGAATAAAAAAAATATTGTATCTAAATCTTTTTAGAATGAAAATGATAGATCAAGTAGATTAGGTCCGACATTTTGGCTTGATTTTTGTGCGGGTTGCATTCCATTTTTATAGGCTTAATTAAGTATCTATTAAAAGAACAAGAAGATGATTGATGGGGATGACGATAAGAAGAGAAAGAAGCCATATCCATTCTTAAGGGAGTTAGTACGGTTGCATGTTAATAGAACGAAGCCGGATCACCTACGTAACAACATAACGGAGCAGATACTCCCTCACTTAGATGCCAAGTCCCTTTTGAAGTTTCAATCTTAATCAAAAGAGTGGTCGTCTATAATAGAAAACCTAAGTTGGTGTTGCGGCACAAAAAGATGAGGCTCAAGCCCAAGTACCTTTTACTCTTCACTTCATCCTCTGAGACCCGAATGAAAATTTGTTTTGTTTTATTTTTTTCCCTATGGAGGGAAAAAATGATTCAAAACTTTTGGCAGTTTGATATAAAAAAAACACATACCAAGGAAAATATACAAAATGCATAAAATTCACATCCCATACCAAGACAACAATATATTTAATCCACGAGTGTCGCTTCAGGTTCGAGCCCCGAGTGAGAAATCGTAAAGAAGCGCCTCGATGTAATAAGGCAAGACAATGAGAAGAGGACACGTATTGCCTACTCACTTATATAGACACCATTGAAATGACATCGTATAATGAATAAAGTAACTTGTAATAGATGTTCTTCAAAGGAGAGGACAAGGGTTTTGCAGCCTTTCTTTTTAGGACAGTAGATTCTTATACTATCTTTTGCTTAGCACATTAATATATTCCACTCTCTTTCGTCACTCCACAGAACAACGAAGGAAGTGGAGGTGTTGCGCTCGTGCCTTTTATTTTATTTTATTTTTTGTTCTTGAATATTTGATAAAAGATAAGATATTATTTTTAAATCTTTTTAAAATAAAGAAGATATTGTTTCTATGTCTTTTTAGAATAAAGATGATAGATCAAGTAGATTAGGTCCGACATTTTTGCTTGATTTTTGTGCGAGTTGCATTCCTTTTTAATATGCGTGATTAAACATCTATTTTTGGACAAAAAGAACAAGAAGATGATGATGGGGACGACGATAAGAAGAGAAAGAAGCCATCTCCATTCTTGAGGGAGTTAGTATGGTTCATGTTATTGGAACCAAGACGGATCACTTACTTGACAACATAACGGAGCAGGTATTACCAAGTCACTTTTGAGGTTTCGGCCTTAATTCAAAGAGTGGTTGTCAATGATGGAAAACCTAAGTCAGCGATGGAGCACAAATAGATAAGACTTAACCCTAAGTACCTTTTGTTTTTCACGTAATCCTCTGAGGCCCGACTAAATTTATTTATTTTTTTCCATATTGTTGTGCATCCATATGGAAGAAAAAAATAATCCAAAAGTTTTGGCAATTTGATATAAAAAAACCACATACCAAAGGAAAAAATTACAAAAATGCAAAAAATCCCTATCCTATACCAAGACAACAATATATTTAATCCATAAGTTCATCATAAAAAGGCTCATTCATAGTTCCAAAACCTTATCGATGCGCCATAGTTGTTTTTTGTTTAATCATCTGCCCAAGAGTCATCTCAGGTTCGGGCCTTGAGTGAGAAATTGGAAGAAACCTCGTCGATGTAATAAGGCAAAACAATGAGAAGAGGACACGTATTGCCTACTCACTTACGTGGACACTACTAAAATCACATTGTATAATGAGTAAGGTAACTTCTAAGAGACGTTCTTCAAAGGAGAATACAAGGATTTTGCAACCTTTCTCTTTAGGATAGTCGATTCTTTACTATCTTTTGCTTAGGACATTAATCTCTCCCACTCTCTTTTGTTGCTCCACGGGACAATAAAAAATGAATGAGGTGTTGTACTATTGCATTTTTCTTACCTTTTTTGTTTTTCTATTTGTTCTTGAATATTTGGAACAGAGAATAATATTGTTTTTAAATATTTTATAGAGGATAATGTTTCTAAATCTTTTTATAATAAAGAATATAGATCAAGTAGATTAGGATGTTAATGTGTATGTGCGTTTGTGTATCTCAAAGACACAAATACACATACATCATTAACCTCTAAAATATTGTCTTTCTGGTAAGATTATAATGAGCAACAGATCTGGAGTTCCATCTTGTAAGATTTCCTAACCCTTGTGATCTCAGAATAATCTGATTATGTCGGCGGTTTTCTATATAAACCGTCGTGGTTATTTCAATTCTTGTCGTTAGGTAGATCTACCGACGTAGGATAACAAATCGAAGAAATAAATTGTTAAAAAAAATTCTTATTCAGACGACGGTTTAAATATAATTTATGACGTATAAAGTGGACAAATACGACGTTAAATTCTATAATACGTCGTTATATGAAAACCCCAACTTGGTAAGATTGAAAGATGTCGTCGTAGAAATACGAGAAAGACGTCGTTATATTTACCTTTGCCGTAGTTGTACATTAATTTAATACGGCGGTATTTTGTATTTTACCGCCGTGGATTTATTTGTAATTTTACGTCGCCTTATACGAAAACTTGGTCGTGTTAATTTCTGGGTAAAAACGACGGCTTTTTGTGAAACCGTCGTCTTTACTTTCTACGTCGGTCGGTTCATAACTTCCGCCGTTATTTGTTGGCTACGATTTTACCTCTTGAAAATCCTATTTCAATAAGACGTCGGTTTTTTAATTAAGTACGTCGTGTTTTTGGAACAGCCATTTGAAACTCCATTTTTTAGTTGTCTAATGTGTTATTACACGGCGGTTTTATAAAACCGTCGTCTTTTAAAAAACAACGACGGTTTTCACGTAGACCGTCGTGTTTTTGTGGTCGTCTTTTTCACTTTTTGTAGTAGTGTTTTTTACTTTATTTTTTGTGCCGTTGTGCTTCATTTTTTATATGCTTGAGTGAACATTTATATTTGGAAGAAAAGAACAAGCAGGTGATTGATGAGGGATCCAGCTCCATTCTTGAAGGATTCAACACGTTCCAAGTTTATGGAACCAAGCCAAATCACCTTTGTTAGAAAATAATGGAGAAGATATCATCTTACTTAGATGCAAGTCACTTTTAAGGTTTTAGCTTATATCTAAAGGGTGGATGTCTATGATGAAGAACAAAAAGATGAGGTCAAAGCCGAAGTACCTTCTCCTGATTACCTCAGCCTCTATGGCTCGACCCGAAATTTTTTTGGTTGTATTGAGGTGCATCCGTATGGAATGAGAGTTAAGCACGAGATTATTTTGTAGGTTACACATCACATTACGGAACAAGAAATTAGACTTTTATCGGATGCTTTGATTACATTTAGATCTCAAGCGGTCAATATGTTAATATGCACATTTGGATTGAATGGCCTCATCTATAAGGTATATATATATCCTGAATGCTTACATCAAAAACCTACTCACTAGCAAGATAGTCCCTCACAACGTCCTTACTTGCAGTCCCTTGGTTCTAGCTATTGGGTTTGATCCAAACCAAGAAGAGAATAAAGTATTGAAAGCATAATAGACTTTTGAATTGCCACAAAATTTTAC